GTCAAGTCTGGAGCTGACTAATATTTAGTATATATTTATACTATAGTATAGTATAAATTTTGGTGTAGACGATTTTTGATTTTCTTATAGAATGTGCCCTGTAGAATCCACAATTTCAAACAGTTCGAAGATTGGGCTACTTGTTCAAAAGTTACAGCCCTTTGAATTTTCTTTCGAAATTTTTTTCTAGTCTATACTTTTGATTGAGAAGTCTAATCGGAAAAGTACAAATTATTTTGGATTCTACGCCCCAAAATTAATAAGAAAAAGTGTTTTCCCGAGAAATTTTGGTGTAGTCGATTTTTGGTAAAAAAGGAAGGTTATACACTGCCTTTTTTTTAGCCCCGAAAAAAAAATTGTCTCAGATCGACCGGGAAAAAAAATTTTCTTATAGAATATACCCTGGAGAATCCATAATTTCAAACAGTTCAAAGATTGGGCTACTAGTTCAAAAGTTACAGCCCTTTGAATTTTCTTTCGAAATTGGTTTCTAGTCTATAACTTTTGATTCAGAGGTCTAATCGCAAAAGTACGAATTGTTTTGGATTCTACGCCCCAAAATTAATAAGAAAAAGTGTTTTCCCGAGAAATTTTGGTGTAGACGATTTTTGGTAAAAAAGGAAAGTTATACACTGCCTTTTTTTAAGCCCCGAAAAAGAAAATTGTCTCAGATCGACCGGGAAACGTATCCATTCATATTCCAGCAGAGGTTGAATCTTTTCGGGACCAGATTGAGAAGTCTAATCGAAAAAGTACGAATTGTTTTGGATTCTACGCCCCAAAATTAATAAGAAAAAGTGTTTTCCCGAGAAATTTTGATGTAGTCGATTTTTGGTAAAAAAAGGAAGGTTATACACTGCCTTTTTTTGAGCCACCAAGAAAAAATTGTCTCAGATCGACCGGGAAAAAAAGTTTTCTTATAAAATGTGCTCTGTAGAATCCATAATTTCAAACAGTTCGAAGAGAAATTTTGGTGTAGTCGATTTTTGGTAAAAAAGGAAGGTTATACACTGCCTTTTTTTGAGCCCCGAAGAAAAAATTGTCTCAGATCGACCGGGAAAAAAAGTTTTCTTATAGAATGTGCCCTGTAGAATCCATAATTTCAAACAGTTCGAAGATTGGGCTACTAGTTCAAAAGTTACAGCTCTTTGAATTTTCTTTCGAAATTGGTTTCTAATCTATAACTTTTGATTAAGAAGTCTAATCGAAAAAGTACGAATTGTTTTGGACTTAACGTAAATTTTTTGGATACTTTTCCTGATTACATTGATTTATCACAACCTATATTTTTTAAAGTTTAACCATGAACCAAAAATAAAAACCGTATTTTTTACGGTTTTTAAATAGTAGGCCATGGATTTATGGAGATCTTGTTTTGTTTATTTTATCCATGGCACCCGATACAAATCAATAAAATTGACTGACGGTAGAAACATGTCATTACAAAATTTTGAAAAATATGATAAACAAAAATTCGTTAAGCCGCTTGTGAGCAAGAGGCGAAGAGTGCACTATCAAATATGAACCAATCTTTATTTTTTTGTTATTTGCGACATTTTCAATTAATTATATGCGAAATTAGATCATTTAGGCGGGGAACCCGAAGGCCTAATCTTCAAATGAGTATAACTTTCGTTTGAAACGTCATTTTGAAAAACTGTTCAACAATTTTGTTCCTTAACTCATCAAGTATGTATACAATAAATTTCTTGGAATTCTCTCCATTTTAGTTACCCGGCCAGGAATTGCAGTGGAACTTTTTTTTCCGAATTTTCATAAACTAATTCCAGATTCGTGAGTTTCATTTTCAAAAACTCCCAGTACCAAATTTCGTCGAAATCAGAATTTTTTTCGCACTCCCCAAGTAGGGGTGCGCCCTTTCGTGGTAGGAATTTTGAAATTTTTTTTTCAAAATCGGATAGGGAATACTCGAAAGCCTATTTTTGACAATACTTCTTTATATCTATCACAAAAACCCAAAAAAAAGTTATGAATGCCTCTTTTGTTTAATTGGAGTCAATAGGCCCCATTAAACAAAATCGGTCATCTCAGTATCCTTTTCTCTAGTTATAAACCTAATAATACAAAATGATGTATTATTTCTTAGTTATTGTATATGAGCCGGATCAAAAGTCTGGCTACCGAATACGAGCGGAGTGTTTAATTTAGATTTACTACTGATAAATTAAGATGTACTACTACAATTGGTTGGGAAAATATTACTATGAGTTCAGTTGATTCAGGAAAATAAAATATAAAAAATTAACACCCCATCGTTATCTCTACTAACAAACAAATGGCAATTGCATTTATATTTTATGAAAATAGAGCAGTTTTCACCTTCAACGGTACAACTTAATTCGTATAAAATAAGCTACAAGAAAAATCACCTGAATTTTTCGGGTCTGCAATCCGGAAATTGTTATGCATACCCCAATAAATTCAATGTCTGAGACGTGAGCAGAATAATCATTGATTTTGTGATCGGTATAGAGTATTTGTGCACAATACAATCACGTGAAGGGGAAATAATTCATGCATTACCACGGTTATGTTGTGAGTTCAACTATACATAATTAATATGTAAAGGTCGTTATGTCGCTAGTTTTTCCTTTATAGATTGCCTGTGTTTACTATTTTAGTATCCATCAATAACCAGTGACCCAGTTTTATGTGAAGCACCTCAAATTACGCCGTTTGGGGACGAGAAAAACGGAATCAAGTCAAACTGGGCGGGTTGACTAAAATGTTTCCGAAAGTTGGACGATGAGTAACCAATGTTATCAAATTCCAAGATGTCTGATTTGTCGGAAGCGGAAAATTCGTAAAATCAACAAGGATCAGCTTAGGCACTTGTCACCAGGAGATAATCTCCGAGTTAAAGACAGTACTGAACCTCATCCACTAAAACAGGCACTCGTCTTGATCTCGTGTCTGGTGTTACCAACTGTCGAACTATAAAACCGTAACGGAAAATGAGTATTGAAAATGGTAATAATTGTTGTGGGCTTTGGGCGTCAACGAGCATTGAGTTTTGAGTCTACGCACCTGTTCGATTGCGTTCTTCAATGAATTAAAGTAACACGTCTCCCATGCGTACCTACACGTATTAATTGAGTTAAACGATTGTTTTGGAATGACTCCTTTGAATGTTGAAAGTTGTAGCTATACATGGAACAATATCTCGACCTACTGAATATGCATCTGACAAGTACAAGCAGAGTGATATTTTGTAATTAACTATCTATCGTGAATTTGACACAGTATATTCCAAATTTCCAACAATTAGAAAGTTTCTCTCTCAAATGCTCTGTATCCCAACTATTCTAATAGGAGCTATAATTACAATTATTAAACTTTATGTTTATTAGATTACAAAATGGATTGCAAGCATTGTGAGGAACGTTTTATTATGTAGAACTATGCATTATGCAACCTGACAGGCAACTTCCATGGAGGACTTTCTTTTATTCTCTCCTACCACTTACGTGTGTAAGTCAAAATTCCAACTAAAACTGTAGGAAACATAAATATTAATTTAAATGGGGTTGCACCGGTCTAGCTCAGCCTAATTGAACAGATACCTGTGTTATTGGGTTTGATTAAGTGATCTTTATGGATGTCTGAAAAATACACTAGCAAATTGTAATTATAAGTTAATTAAACCTACCGGACTAAAACGTAAAAAATTAATATTAAATCATAGCTTATATCACATCGTTAAAAAGGGGATAGAAATTCTGTAATTATGCGTTAATAAACGATTTGAGTTGATCGGATTAAAGATATCGTAATTTAACGGTTTCATCTGTAGATCTAACGCTAAGGAAAAGAGGCCATCACATCGCATAATTATAAAAAATTAAAACGTTAAGTACTGAGTGAGATTCTAGGATAATTACGCTGAATGTCTGAAAAATTACGCTTTCCGCCGCATCTATCGTGGTAGCGCCGCTACGGTATTCGAAAACTATCTTATAGAGACCCTTACCAGATATTTTTAGTAACGTTATACAGAAATGTTCTCTTTTTAATCAAATTCCATACTGTTCCCTACTTGCTGCTGGCTACATAATTGAGATCCTAAGTCGGAACGTTTTAGTATGCTGTGCTCGAACTCGGTACGATTGATCTACGAGACACAATTCTATCGACTGTACGCATTCAAAGGTTATATCATTGTAACAAGAAAAATGATCAAATTATAGCATTTCGTGAACCGTAGCAAAGGATCCCCATTCATAAAATCTATCCATCGACTATTTCTTTGATTCTAAAAAATTGTGGAAAAGTACATTTTATCGTTTGCCTCTTGTAGGCTGTACTGCTACGCGGTCATAAAGTTTTAATTGGGGACTATATCCGTCACACAATATAATATTTAATGACATTATATTTAAACCCTCGTAACACTTTCCGAGATTGTCTTTCTAAAGATTTAATAAACGTAAACCATCTGTACCAGAATTTATAACATAAACGTTAGGGTTATAGGGTTAACGTAACATTTCGTTTGGAATTAATAACTGACTGTGATAATCTAACCGAAACTGCGTTTATGGTCAAAATAAACCTAGTTTATTGCAATTGTTGTAACCAGTTCAAGACAATACTGGTGTTCACTCAAACTTCTAATTTTCCTTCTAAGTTGCATTCAACCCAGCTTCAGTTCAACGGCAGTGGCGTGTGCTGTAACTATTAAAGAACCACCGAATTTGAAATCAAGGGCATAATTTTTACTATGTAGAAATCAACAAGTTCGTAGTGCGAAGCTTTGGTGGTCATCTGCCGAGAAAAGGAGGCGCATTCATAATTTTCGTAAAAATCTTGCGAAATTCGTGTAAGCAGCAAACGGTAGCCCTCTGTAGGAAAACTACAAGGCGCGCGCGGGGTCAGGCGAAATCAATATGAGGGGTGGCTTTTAGGGGCGCAGGCCTGAGCCCCCGTGAGCCCAGAAAGCGCCAGTCTGCCTTCGCCCCATTCGGTTATTGCATCCGCATTATCACCAGCTATAGAACGATATATAACACTAGAACGATATCACTGCATGTGTAGTTAGTCGTGTGAGCTTTTTGTGGTAGAGCTTTAACGAACAGTGCATCGGCATTCAACAATTCATAGGTCACGTGTACTCTTCGATATAAGTGCCAACTGTACGTTTACACGTGTTTTTCCCCAGTCATGTTCAGGAAAAGCTAATTGTAAATAAATCACGATTTTTCCTCCATTAATCTTCCCTCGAGGTTTAATGAGGAACCGTTCGGGTGCACTAACCTCAAGTACAAGATATACTCATTTTCAGGATTTTCAGCTTTAAATGGAAAACTTAGTCTTGCGGGAACTGCTCAATTCAACGAAATTTGTATCGATTTGGAAAGTACTAAGTGTGAACGCACGTACCTAATAAGTGAATTAATAACATCCAGTGTTTGGTTTTCAGTGTATTTTTGTGTATTTTTCAGAAGTGAAATTCAGGTCAGTTCGATGTTTGTGTGTTGAACCCTATTCTTTCCCTCTGTTTGATGTTGATTCGAGTACTACGACATTACAGGATTAAGGTATATGAAATGGAAAGGTTCATGTGTACAGAAGTGACTTTCATCACAGTTAATTACCGAATCGATTTCATCGAAATTATTATTACTATTTAAATAGGCCGCCGTATATCAAGTTAGAGTTTATAAAATGCTGGACGCGTCGAGTGCGAACAGCATCAGAATACAAAGTCGCAGGTGTTAATTCTCAACGGCAGACTCAAAGGGAATTAACCCGTCTATTTATGGGATTGTTTGTTCGTTATTTCCAGCACTATTCTGGTGTAATTTAAGTAAACATTTCTAGATATTTTTGGGAAACTTTCGTGTTCTGAAGTTGTGTTGAATAAATGAACATTAGGACACTATAATTATGTTATGGCCACTTAGATATTCTAAGATTTCTTTCTGGAAGGAAACATATTCGTGTAGGGGTAACTTTAAAGTAGCATCACAAGTTACTAACTTTTGGGATTATGGAGAGTTTTAGTTGGTAACTGAGTAACACAAATTACTGAGACTGGAACGCTTTGATATTGTACACTAGTAGGGGCGATTTGATCAGTGGATATTGATACACCTCATGTCAATTTTAAAATTAGCAGTGTATTTCACTTTTTCCTAATAAGAAATGTTCTTGGTCGTATGTTACATCATTGAATAAAAATGTTACACAAAGTCAGTACTCAATTTTAACTATTATTCGTCTACATCCACTGACTTTATAGTCGTATAAAAAGAAATAAAGATTTTAAGCTTCATTTAACTTCTAAAGTATAAAAGGTTGCATACTGCTAGAAAGAAACGTAAGTACTTACAACAATTTTATGATGTCATAAATAGTTAACTTTTTTCTTTGAAATGCGTGCGTAGCATTACATAAAATCTAAATAATTGAAAAATGTGGTTCACCCGATACGATTTCCTGTCGTACTGAATATCAAATTATTTGCAATAGGAAAATCGGTGAAAATTTTAGAAAGTGAGATGTTATGTCCCATATTTACATTGAAATTCACCACAACATTTAAAGTGTGGGTGGAATATTATCGAAAAGCAGAATTCATTTCCCACCCTATCGTGTCCAAGTTTTTCTTAAAGTGCATGCGTTTCAAGAAAATGAGCGAATATTGATTGTAAAAAGGAAATTTAATCAGCACACTTAAATGACTGGTGCGTAATTATATTTATGGTAATTACGTAAGTGCTTCGCTTTTCATTTTCTGTCCTTAATTATATTACTGATATACCACTTTGTTTTATTTTATTCGATGCTGTATAATGAAGTTAGGGGAAATTTTGCAACAGGAAACAGACGCGACATTTGATGCGTAAAATTTAGTAAAACACCTAGCTGAAAACAACATAAAAATTTATAGGTATATTAGCGTTTCACACAATGTCGCCAGGCCATCCATCATACCACAATTTTGCATCTTTTAGAAAAAATTAATCTCATTCGCAAGATGTGTTCTATAGAATACAATTAGATTTATGTGACAGAGAACTCAAACTGCATGAATTAAGTTTTGTCTAAAGGACCATAACAAAAAGTTTGATCTTGAGCTTACCATATTGGAACTAATCTCTGTCGCCCAAACTCGTAATACGGTCGTTAACCATAAATTTAATCATCTAGCTGCCGCAAAGGCGTTATGATTAATAACGATGTCCTCGTAACGGGCAAGAATTGATATTTGTTCACATTCCGCTAATTAAGGGAACAGCAAGATCAATAAGGAGTTAGTTCTATTCTTACATTAACAATCGCCGTGTAATTAATTACTAGAGCCTCAAGACCCAGAGACGATTATATCAACGCTGAATTAGCATCACTCTGAGTAAATTAATTTTGATTACCAAAATGATTGCTCTTGTTGTATAATGTTTTACTTAAATCCCTGGCTTATGAAAAATGAGTAACGTTTTTTTGTCTATTTCTCTTCTATTTAATTTTTAATACAGGTGTCCACCTCTTTATTTTCAGATGGGGTGCAGTGTATGGCATTTTTTAAACTACAACTTTTCCGATGTGTCGTTTTATTATTTTTTATTCTTTTATTTAATCAGTAGCGCATTCCCCCTTCCCACATCTGTTTAAATAACGCTCTATGGAGGTTTCGGAAACTTAGTCTAACTAAATTACTACTTTTAACTGTTTACGGTAATGTTAAATTTTTGCCCCAAAATGTATCCACGGCTAGCTCATTTTATTAAAATTACCTTGATCCACTTCCATTATTAAAAATTAACAGGGTGTTTCAGGAAATGTCTAAAACATTTGGTTCCACTCGGTTCAGCCGTTTAGCCGGAAATGATAGTACAGGAAGACTGACAGACCGATCGACATCATCGAGATTTTGTTTAATTCGAATTCCTGATGCATCAAAGCGTGCATTTCCCACAAAAAAAGTGGGGGGGGGGGTCATTTTTTACCCGATGCAATACATCCCTTACTAACATCCGGATGGTAAAAACGGATCAAATGCATAGAATAGATGGCTATAATATAGAAAACCAACTCTATACGAATTTGATTTAAGTAATAATCTGCATATGCTATGGAAACAGTTCCTTGATTATTTACGGTTAAATTAGGGTTAGCTATTATTATTAGCATCAAATCGTGATTTTTAACACAAAGATGTATAGCAAAGGCGATAAGGTTGAAATAGTAACATGGTATTAGGGTATCAGTTTAAGAACTGTCAAAACAGCCCCAGTTTGTCGCTTGTCAGGTTGGTTGCCTACAACCATCTATGCCATGCCATGATACTATTGCCCTTCTAGTATAAAAACAGTCACGCCAAGCATCGCAGGTATCTACAAACTGGTCGCCTGTGAGGTGTACACAAATTATGCTATATTTTCATCCCTATCTAGCCCATGCAAAGAAAAATATATAAATTTTGCATTGGGCGGGTACCTGCGACTATTTTTATATCATGATTCTATGGGTTTGATCCGTTTTTTTTTAAGTATACATACACATAGCCCATATGTATGCAAGGGCTTTTAAACAAATCAATTTTATGTTTGTTAAAACGTTCAGTATATCAAAATTGTGACTACGTTCATGTACGTGTCTCCCTTAAATAAACAATAGAAAAATACGAAGTATCACCGTTTACACACGAATTGAAAACCTTAAATTTTATACAGGGTGGGTTTTTTCCGATGTTTAGTGTGGGGATCTCGTAAACCGTAAGAGATACAAGGTCGCTTAAATGGGCAAAGAATTGCAGAATTTTATGTAGATTGAGTTTCTCTTTCAAAGTTTCTTGTAGCTCTACAAACAACAAAGTTATGGTCAACAAACCGAAAAATGTCATTTTCAAAAATGAGCTGGCGTTAATTTATTTTCAAAGATTTTAAAAAAGTAGTTTTAAGAAACCCTTAGTAATTTTTTCTCAGCTTTCTAATAATGCTTGTGAGTTCCGATTAAATCACATCAACTTTTTTATTTTTTAACGGCGCCATGTTGATACTAAATATTTGATTTCAGAATCAACTGATATCTTTGAAAATAAATAAGCGCCAGCGCATTTTCTAAAATGACTTTTTTCTGTTTTTGACCATAACTTCGTTATTTGTACAGTTAGAAGAAACTCTGAAAGGGAAACTTAAAATTCTGCTATTCTTTCCCATTTAACTCAGTTAGAAGATTTTCGGCAGTTAATATTGATTTCAAATGGAAAACTTTTTTACCCTCTTCTAACCGAGTTTATGCCCGAACATGGGCCACAGTGGAAAATTTCTGTTATGGTATTTCTAGTTAATTTTTAAAGGTTAAATTTTCCAACTGATCAAAATCCGTAATGTAAAAGGCGTACTGCGTACAAATAGCACTAAATACAATTTACCTGATTCATACGACTCGACCAAATCTACACCTCTGAGTAGTTAAATCTTGGACCACCAACCACCAATACCCAAACTGTCAGTTACGATTACGATTACGTTGACTGAAACACATACCGAATTTGCCATAATTTGTAAAACTAGGGACCCCCACCCCAGCTTCCCGTGAGGGAAGAGGCAGCCCCCAGCACGACCCAGTAGGCCCACTTGTTCTACTGCCATGATAGATTTTCTGTGAAAACCCTTCGTGGGTAAGGGTACTTTTTGAACGCTAGCACCACCACTGTAAGATATCTCTTCCAAAATCAAGCGCCAAGGTCCGTAAGACCTGGTGCCATAATTAAACTGAGACGCCACCCTCCTATTCTCCCTGCCATCTCCACAAGTAGGACAATGCGTTACTAAAGTCTAACAAAATAATGCCATCTAAACCTTTAATAGGTCTGGTTAAACACCTTGGTATGCCAGCGCGCTTATGTTTTTGATTTAGGGGAGGTTGCTCATGTTTTAGTTAAACACATTTGATAGATATTCTCTTATACTATCACATTTGTTTCCATACAAATTAACTGTCAGATAGACAACAATAATATGAAACACCGACGTATAACGACCAGTCCTTAAACTTCAAGTTGCACAAAAGTGACCAAGCCAGCGTACTAAGCGATTCACTTTGCCACTAATTAGAATAGGGGATACCGGGTAGGTTTTTATTGCTCTCATATTAGTTAACGAAGTGCTATAAAGTAGTTCTCATTTCTCTAACAGTTTGAGAATTAATTATGATATAATGCCATTTACATTACATTTCCAATCAGTAATCGAATACAAATTTTGTGAACTAATCAATTACTGTAATTAAAATACTTTTAAGGCAAAGTAATTTATAATCATTATTCGAATACTTTTTCTTAGTCATCCCATCTCCGCTTCTACATTTATATCAAGGAATCTCATTGAAGTTTGAAATGGAAATATACAAAATATCTAAAATTGAAATTCAAGATTGACGCAAAACATAAATATGGAATACAAAGCGCTAGTTATTTAAACTTTACTTAATCTTGGAAATGAGGTTTT